ATTCAATATCAACAACACTGAACAAGTTTTGAATAAAAAAGAAGATAACGAATACTTACAATCCTTACATAGTAGATACGTCATCAATCCTTCCAACAAATCTGGAGGCAAATTTATATTACAAATTAAACTTTCGGGTACTGGGGTATATTAATACCTCAACACCGACAAAAGTAATATCATAGTGAAACACCGTGTAGTTTAATATTATTAGACTTTGCTTTGCATTTGGTAAAACTCAGTGATGTAATAATAACTACATTATTGTAATTTCGAAATCACAAAAATTCATACAAATAAAGGTTTATCGTTGGTTCTGAAAAGGGATTTGAGGCTGAAACAAAAGAAGCTTTTAATTATATTAATTGTCACACAAGTTTTACTATTGATAACTTAACAATATTCCATCTGAAATTTCAAGATCGTTTAAAAATTATTGTAAATTAAGGCTTTGAGTTAGTAGAAATAAATATTAATGATAATGTTACTCATAAAAAGTACCATTGTTTCACAATAAATGAATTCTTACAAGCTATGCAAGTTTTACTTGATGACATTTGTGCAGTTCGGCCAACACATCTTCTAATAAATTCAAGGGATACGTTTGTATAATAATTCAGGCCTAACTTAACTCTCATGGGCTAACCTCGTGATATTAAGTCGTCAAGAAATTAATGTCGCTTTCTTTAGATGAAAAACCCAAACAACTTGTACATCAAAACAAAACATTTATTAAATGAAATAGTCTCCATTCTTATCGATGACGCTTTTCCATCTTACAATCATGTTGTTAATGCCCTGATTAAAGAAATCGCTTGGCTTTGAAGTAAAAAAACATGTTGATGTCCTCTTTAACACCTTCCACATTTGCATACGTTTTTCCATTAAGATGGTGTTGCAACGAATGAAAAAGATGGTAATCTGATGGTGCCATATCTGAAGAAAATGGTGGGTGGGGGAGAACTTATCAACCCAACTCCATAATCTTGTGTTGCGTCAAACGTGTCACATATGGACATGCATTGTCGTGGAGATCACCACCTTTCCGATTGAAGGACGATTCTGATCAAGGGCTTGATTTAAACGTTCCAGTTTCTGACTATAGATCTCTGCATTGACATTTCACTGTGGATCGAGAGTTCGAAATGAATTACTCCTTTGATGTCCCACCAAATGCAAAGCATCACTTTCT